ATTCAAGAGAAAAGAAAGAAAAGATAATGTTTGAAAAGTGAATGTGGTTAGCTTAAAAAAAGTGGAAACAACCCAAATGTCCATGGACAGGTGAACAGATTAACAAAATGTGGTATATCCGTACAATAGAACATCATTTGGTCATAAAAGGGAATGAAGTTTTGACATGCTATGACATGGGTGAGCCTTGACATTATGCTATGTAAAAGCAGCCAGACACAAAAGGACAAATATTACACGATTCCACTTCTATAAGGTGCCTAGAATAGCCAAATTCACAGAAATACAAAGTATTTGCTACCAGGGGCTGGGGAAGGGAGGAATGGGGAGTTATTGCTTAACAGGTACACAGTTTCTGTTAGGGTGATGAGAAATTTTTGGAAATAGATAGTTGGTGATGGTTGTGCGGCATTGTGAATACACTCAATGCCACTAAATTATATATTTCAAAATGGTTAAAGTGTCAAATGTCTTTATCACAGTTTTTTCAAAGAGTGAATGAGGGGAGTCTTTCAAGGTGGGCTTGTTTCCCTCTCCACCTAGGGAGGTGGAAGTTCCTGCTCACAGTCCTTTCCCGGCTCCCCAGCGCTGACGGGGGAAGGCGTCCTCTCCTGGGCCTGGCTTCCAGGCAGGCCCAGCTCCGGGTCTGCTCCTCCTCCCGTCCCCAGACTGGCTCCAGCCGGCCCAGCCCCGGGTCCTGCCCGAGCTGTTCCCCAGCTTCCCTCACCCCAGCCCTCTCTGTGTGTCCAAATCCCATTTGAAAAATAAGCCAGTATCCCCTGAACCGCCTGGCAGCTTTCTAGCCCCTTTCTGTTTTCTGTCCTGGGTTACTATCTGTCCTGGCTGCTGTCTGTCCCCTCTACTAAGAAAAGCAGCCACACTGCCCTATCTTTATGGCCCTGGTCTCTGGTACGAGGTCATTCCGTGTGTCTATCAAACAAACGCTGTCGAATAGTGCCGTCGGTACAGCGCGGCCACTGAGATCCTCTGTGCTTCTGACGTCCAGCACGGTGCCAAGCGCTCACCCTGCCTAATCCTTGGGAAAACTCTAGGATGTAGGTGTACTAGTGTTGCTCTCAAGTAACCGATGAGGAAAAAGAAGCACAGAGAGGTGAGGCAACTTGCCCGAAGTCACACAGCTTGTAGGTGGTAGAGCTGGTGCTGTTAGCCTGACTCTAAGGCCCTTGGCTTAACAAAGCGAGCTGAGAACAGTGCCAGCTGCTGCTCCACCCTGGCTTGTTTTCAGGAGCAAGAGGACCAATAATTTGGGCACCCCAGGGCCTTGCATAGGGGCTATGGACCCTGCAGGCCCCACACATGCGCCCTGGGGGAGGGGGATCTGCCCCTCCTTCCCAGGCCTCCAGGACCCGGGGAAAACTCGGGGCCAGGACAGAACGTAGAGCAGAGGGAGGCGGAAGTTAATGGAGGCCAGTAAGGGCCTCGCCACAGAGGCTTAAGCAACGGAGCGCTCCCCACTTCCCAGCCGCCTGCCCGGAGCACCACTAACACCATTAGCGGACGTTTGTGCTGCTCCAGCGCTGCAGCAGGGCGGGGAGGAAGGTGCTGACAATCTTCCCTTCTAGACAGAGCTCAGAGCCGGTGAAATTACTAAAAAAAGGAGCTGAGCCAGGGGCTGGGCCTCTCTGGGTCGCAGCCTCCACTCCTATAAAATCCGAGTGTGTGAGTGGGGGGTGGGGGGCACAGAGGAGCTGTCCCTCTGCTTCCACGTCTGATTTCCACAGCAGGGTCTTGGTTCAAATACTGTGATCTCGGGAAAGATCAGCATAATTCGGACATGGAATTATAAATGTACCCTCTAGATAATTTAGCATTCACAAGGCAGGGAGGGCCACCCTGTAACCTCCCTGGCACATTCCTCTCCCAGTATTCCCTTATTTTCCTTATATGTAAGGTGGCTCCCAGGTCCCCGGGCAAACAAAGCCCCTAGGCCTGTACCTGCCTCCCCCCGGCACCCACCTGTGTCTCTGCCAAGGCACTCTCCCTCTCCCAACCCCACGGTTCCCCGCGCGGCTTTGGATTCTAACCAGCACTTTCTCATTCAGCCCGAGTGCGGAGAAACAGGGTGTGTCGTGCTGGCAGGTGCACAGGTTTGGGGATGGAACAGAACTGGGTTTCAACTCATATTAGTGGCCATGTGACCTTGAACAAGTGCTGAACCTTTCTAAGCCTCAGCTATCAAATCTGTGAAATGGGGACAATGACTCTGGACACAGAACAGTTAGTTGTCTGATCAATAAGCCACCTGCCTGGGACAGCACCCGTCCCACTTGCTCTCTCGCTGAACAGTGAGAGCCAGGCGGGCAAAGACGTGGCCCCATTCACCACTGTCTCCTGGGAGCCTGGAACAGCGCCTGGCTCAGAGTGCATGGATGGGTGGATGCATGAATGAGTGAATGAACAAATGATAGGAACATTATAGAACCAGCTCCCTTGACAGATGGAAAGATCGAGACCCAGCAGGTAAAGAGACTGAGAACAACATGGGAAAGCACAGCGGGCCGTAACATCACGCGGGTAGGATAAGCCCCTTTACACGACAGTCTGGAAGGGCGGACGCCAAAATATTCACAGCGATCTCATTGGCGGGATTACGGTGATTTTCATCACCGTGTAGCTTTTTGGCTGCTGATTTTTCTACTGAGGCTGTGTGTTACTTGTGTAATAACAATAAAAAAAGAATGCAAGAAAACCAAATGAGACAGGACACAAGACGGGCAGCTGTGTGAAGAAGAGAGCCCAGCACACCCCGTGGCGTGGTGGGCACGTCCCCGAAAGGCGATCTGAGAGATCAGAGCTCGGGACGGGGCTGGCTGGATCTGGCCCTGAGCACATGGGCTGCACCCTGCTGGGACCTCATTTTATCAGGGAAGGTCACGACCATCTTCTGAGACAGTCCACGTTTCATAAAACCTCCCTACCCTTCCCCTTCCAAGAAGACGTATTCATCATCTGTACAACTAAATGTGATTCCAGTTTTATATCTTTATAAGAGTTATCCCGAATAAGAACCTCTTCTATCAGGCTACGCTCGCCTACTTTCAGCTCAATGTGGCCACCTTGACGACACTCCTGGGGTCTGTGTCTTAGGATGGAGGTCTCTGGAGGGGGAGCCCGCCCCACAGTGCCTTGCATGTTGAGGACGCTCTAAATATTTGCTGCATTGAACCAGACCTCAAGAAGAATCTTTTCTCTTTGTGTGAACATTGTTATTGGATTTTCATTTTATCTAATGCCCTCTGCGGAGAAGGGCTCATTTCCCAGCATATTAATCCGGTACAATGGGACGACGAGTAACGAGATTCTGTCCAGCCCCCGAGAAAATCCCACCACCTGTACGTTTTCTGATCAGAGCAAATGCCTCACCATTTGTCTCCTGGATGTGTCATGTTTGAAAACCGTGAATTGTTGAGATTTTTTTCACCCAAAGGTTTTAGATGAAGAGCTTTGTTCAGCATTAATAAAGTGTCATTTATCCTGGTTCTCAGTTACTTTAGAATTGGGTTTATTTTCCGTGTAGCCTGCATTAGTGATTTGCAAACACTACAGGTGTCCTCTGCTGACATTTTGGGGTCGGAGTGATGGAATGAAACCGCCTTCAAAGCCTTGTCTGGGGACATGGGATTTGACAGCAGCAGAACCTGTCCTGTGGCTGTGTTTGGATCAGGGGGAGGGGTCATCCCCCACCCAGGGGAGCCTTGCTCTGCCTTTACTGTGCAGTAAAGAAGCTACCGGGGGCCACGGGCCCAGGTGCCGCCTGAACGCGTCCTGCTACATCACCACCACAAAGCTGGCCAGGGAGCCACCGCCCGCTCAGAGCGCACGCGCCGGGTTGTCGAGGAGACCGGTGGTAGCACATACCCAGGGCTGGAAGTCAGACTCGAGTTCTGACTCCGGAATGGGGCAGAAGGAACCTATTCCCCTAGTCAGGCCACAAGGACAGGGTAGATTCAGATGTCACATGAGATGAGAACACTTGAAGCCAGAGGTGAGACATTATTCCCCTGGTTTTAGGCAGCAGCAGGGGCAGGAAGGACTCACCTCGTCCTTCTGTCAAAGACAGTCAGGCCATTCACTTTTTTTTTTTTTTTTACAGAGTCTCGCTTTGTTGCCCAGGCTAGAGTGAGTGCCATGGCGTCAGCCTAGCTCACAGCAACCTCCAACTCCTGGGCTCAAGCGATCCTCCTGCCTCAGCCTCCCAAGTAGCTGGGACTACAGGCATGCACCACCCTGCCCAGCTAATTTTTTCTATATATATTAGTTGGCCAATTAATTTCTTTCTATTTATAGTAGAGACAGGGTCTCGTTCTTGTTCAGGCTGGTTTCGAACTCCTGACCTCGAGCAATCTGCCCGCCTCGGCCTCCCAGAGTGCTAGGATTACAGGCGTGAGCCACTGCACCTGGCCCAGGCCATTCACTTTGAGAAGGGTTACAGGTGGGCTGTTGGGGAGACACAGCCTGTCTCCAGGGACGGCCCTTGGCAAAGTCCAGCTGGGGAGTCTGGGATGGCCAGGGCGCCCCAAGGCCACCCTCCAAGGCCCGTCCTCCTGGCCTGTCTGGGCCCCAAGAGAGTGACAGAGGCCACAGGCAGGTGGCCAGGGCCTCTCTCTCCGGCCTCCCTGGGGAAGCCAGGAAACACAAAGGGCAGAGCAGAGAGAGGGACGCCAGAGTCCAGGTCTGCAGCTCCTGCCTCCCCCCTGCCGGGCCCTGCCCCTGGGGAAAGCTTTGCAAGGCCAGAGCTTCCGGATTTCACCAAAGACCTGCAAAGCTGCCTGCCCTGCAGACCCTCTAACAAGGAACACGTTCCTTCCTCCCTCTCCCCACTCAGCCTGCGCTGCACAGCCCAGATGACCAGATAAGGGCCTCTTTGATTTCCAGCGTGTTTACACAGGCTATGTCCGCAAATTTTGGAAAGAATCAACCACAACCAGGCAAGTTTTGGGACAACCTGCGGGCAGGGTGGGGGAAGACCACCGCCTTACCTGCTCCTGGGAGTTCATCACTCGCAACTTCATCTGCTTCAGGTACGTGGAGGTGAGGGGCATGTTGTAATCGATGATCCCCGAGACCAGAGGAGATGGAGGCTCGTTTTCTGGCAGAAAGAACAAAAGGAAACCCTTTTCAGTCTGTGCTGCGGGCCTGTCACCCACTCGGAGAGTTCAGCCGGGAACGTGCGGGGGAGGAAGCTACCTCTGGGAAGGGACAGGGTCGCTCCCCACATCTGGCCCGTTAGATGGGGACTGTGTGGCATGGAAAAGATTTTTCAACGAGGCACCAGCCTTTTAGAGATTTCTCATGCTAAAAAATATGAATTTTTGGTTTCTTTGAAAAATGGAAGATCTGGCCACAGGGGCCCCCATGGCCAATGGCAGCCGCTACAGCTGAGCAGCAGCACTGCTTTTAGGTGGGGGGTGCTCTGCGTTTTGCCGCAGTCCCCACCACTCCTTGTCGCAGTGCACACCTTTGCTCAATCATGACACTTGCCAGGCCCCTGAAGGCATCTACGTTTCCAACCCAGGTCTCAGTCAGCTCTCTTCCTGGGGAACACGTGCCACCCCCTGCCCGACAGCGTCGCCCAGAGCACCCCCAGGAGCCGTGCAGTTCACCGGTCAGAGCCAGCTTCCAGGACCACCCCCGCTCACATGCTCCTCCCATTACTGCTCTGTTGGCCTCAAGATCAAAGTAATGCACGTTCTTTTTATAGAGAATTTGCAAAGTACAGAAAGATGCAAAGAAAAAATTTAAAAACTGTAACTGCACCAAGCACCTTGGCATATGCTTCTGTTTCCTTTTTCCCTGTGATTTCTCTTCTTTACATACTTGGTATTTCAATGCATACATAGAATTATAGTCTGCTTTTTAAAAAGGGTTTTTGTTTTTGCTTAACATTTTGTCATAGGCATTTTCCCCACCATCAAAAACCTTGTTTTGCTAAAGCAAAGATAATTTTTATAGCTGTGTAATATTTTACCATAATACTGAAGTCATTCCCTTATGATTGGCTATTTAGGTTGTTTCCTGTGTGAGCTATTATAAACAACACTGCAGGGAACATCTTTGTGCATAAATACTGGTCTGTGCCTCTGATCTTTTCCTTTTTGGAACAGATTCCAAGAAATGGAATTTGTGGAGTAAAAGGTAAGAATATTGGATAACTCTTAAAATCTCTGGCCATGCTGCTAGGAGAACAGTCTCGATCACCTGCTCCAAGGCCTCCTGCAGCCCAGGTTCATCATCCCAGGCCTTTGCCCAAAAAGGTCCCCCAGTGCCTAGTTCCATGGATGGGCTGGGATTTGAGCAGGGTGGGAAGTGGAAGTGACTTCCAGACTAGCCAGAGCCTGACCTCCAGCACTGCCACCATGCCCTAGACACAGGATGAAGGGGAGGCAGGTGACAGGGCCAGGGCTGGGGAAATGCTAGGACAAATGAGGGTGATTGGCTCTGCCTGCTCCTCCAGAGCTGAGCCCAAACCAAAACGGCCCTGGCCACCTTGAAAACGCTATGCCAGGTGACGGAAGCCAGGCAAAAAAGGACAAACACGATATGATTCCACCTGCATAAAATCTCTACAATTGGCAGATTCATGGAGACAGAAAGTAGAATGGCGATTACTAGGGACAGGGTGGGAATGGGAAGTTATTGCTTAATGGGTGCAGACTTTCTGTTTGGGGTGATGAAAAAGTTTTGGAAATAGATAGTGGTGATGTTTGCTTAACAATGTGAACATAATACCTTAAAAATGGTATAAATAAAATGTATCAAAAAGGCAAGTTTTTTGTTGCAAATATTTTACAATTAAAAAAGAAAAAACAGCCTCTGCAAACGAAGGGACAAAGTTATACCAAGAGGCCAAGGGACACTCCTGCTTGGCAAGGATGGGACAGCCCTGCAGAAAGGGGGGCACAAAACAGACTGGGCTGGAGGACTGGGGTCCCTCTGAGGATGTGGACTGCTGGTGGGCTTTCCAGATGGAATGAGATATTTTATCAAGTTTTACAGAAATGTAGAACTTAGCTTTGCTTTTTAAAGCTATGTTGTTACCCACAGAATGTTTCGTTTTTGTTCTTTGAGGAAGAGGTAAATGTCACTAATAGACTGTCTCAGAAACTGGATAGAAATGGACCACCTCCCACCCCACCCCACCCCTTTCTTTTTTACAGGGAATTCCTCTTGGTTTGATGGCAGATTCTCTGACGCCAACACACATCAGCCTCGTTGGTGCAGATGTCTGTTGTGTGTGCGGAAACTTAAGATGTATTTTTAGGGCCAGGCGTGGAGGCTCATGCCTGTAATCCCAGAACTCTGGGAGGCTGAGGCAGGACGATCGCTTGAGTCCAGGAGATTGAGGCTGCAGTGAGCTCTGACGATGCCACTGCACTCTATGCAGGGTGACAGAGTGAGACCCTGTCTAAAAACAAAAAAAACAACCCCCCCCACACACACACAAAAACCTAAAAAATAAAATGCGTTTTGGGGCCCTTTTCTTGTTGCTATCCCACGGTTGACCCAGACTTGACTTCCTTAACCCCAGGGTGGTTTTAGGGCCTGGCCCCCCAAAATCGATCGAGTCAGATACAGTAAGCCAGGCAGGCGTCCTAGCGCCGACGTGCAGATGGGCTTGCTCAGAAGAGCCGTGGGTCCTGTTTTCGGACCTCGGACCTTCTGACAGAATTCTGCTGTTTCTGTCTGGCGAGAAGCTGCGAAACATGGACCGTGTGGAGGCCCCTTACTCTGTGGCCCCCGGTTAGACCTCATCGGGGGACGCAGCGGCGATTCTCTGGGTTTGTAGCCCACAGGGGCAGGGAGTTGTGTCCTTGTACTGAAATGTCATGACTGCCTATGAGAAAGCAGCTTTTATACAGCCAGTTACACAGTTTGGCTCAGGAAAAATAAAGCAGTGGCAAGGACGGCACACTTGGGAGGCGGGAGAAGGGGTCTTCCTTGGTCTGTCCCTTCCCCAGCACCTCCACAGATCAGAAAATGCTCCCGGTGCCCGGGGGTCCGCTGGGAGAGTCCAGGGAAGAGGAAGGCAGGACGCCCTTGTCTTGGGGAAGCTGTGACATCCGGAGCAGATGTGCAGGGCGATGCTGGACCCTGCAGTTTCACAAGTGAGAGTTCTGCCGGGGAGGCGGGACCGGGGAGGCAGGGGACATTCTAGGTGAAGCTGTGAGCCACAGCGCCCATGGCGGGGAGGAGAAAGGCAGACGGTTTCCGGCAGGGCAGCGGGAGCTCCCCGAGTCCTGATGCCGTCAGGGGTGCACGCCGGGCGGATCGGCTCAGCGGGAGGGAGGAGGAGCGGAGGCCAGTGGAAGCTGCATGGAGTCGGATGCTCACAGGTGGGACAAATGCCAGGGCCAGGGCAGGCTCCGGTGGGAACGTGAACCAGGAAGAAGGAAGAAGTGGCTTCCCCGGGCTCTGCTGAGGCACAGGCCAGGCCCCCGCTGTGGTCGACACATGTGGTAGCCAAGCTCAAGCCACCACAAATAACCTGACCCCACTGCACCGCCGGTCATGGTTGCCATGGAGAGGTGAGCTAGATGCTAGCACGGGCCCTGGAGCCGAAATAATCTGGCAGGTTGCTGGTAAGACAAGCAGAGGAAGTGCCCAGCGAAAAGTTTCAACACTTCTTTGCCAAGGAAAATTGAAACCAGCCCAAGTGCTAGACTTAGTTTCACGCAGCCTTGGGAACAATCAATGATGCAGACGCGCTGCCCACGCCAGCCACACGCTGGCCTGCTCCAAGGGCACTTGCCAACCAAGGCAAATTCCAGCGGAGGTAGTGGCCCTCGTTTGCCCAGGTGAAGATAAGGTGGCAATTCTCACGCACTTTCACCCCCAGAATGGAAGGACAGTCCAGAGACAACGGTGGCTTCCGGGCGCCAGGGGCAAGGGTGAAAAAGGTCTCCCGGGAAGGGCTGGGCGTCGAAGGCTGTGCGGAGAGCCTGGCACGAAGAGGGCTCGAGACCAGCCAGCCTCGTGGGGTTCAGAATTGGAAACGGAGATCCCAGTCCTGGGGCCAGCCCAGAAGGTGACGAAAAATCTCCTTCCTGGGGAAGTGAATCCATGGATCGGCAAGTCTTCCAGGAGCACTGATGTGAGAGCGCCCAGGGCGGGAAGGCGAGGAAACCGTGCACAGCCCTGGGCTCAGGCAACAAGGAGCGGGCAGGGTGGGGCCGGCGCGAGTCCAGTAGAGGTAGGGGGTCCGGGAAGAGCTAAGAGGCCCTGGAGTAGCTTGAGAAGGCTTCATGGGGCTCTAGACAGGACCCCCCATCAATCTCCCCAGCAGCTAACTGAGCTCCTGCTGACCCTCTTGTTTGATGCTCCCAAGAAACCCAAGATGAAGCGGGCTGGTATCGATGCCCCCATTTTGCAGGTGAGGCAGCAGCACACAGAGGGGCCGTACAGCCTTCCCGCAGTCCCCCAGCAAGTGGGTATGAGAGCAGGGAGAGGACGGGCCAGCGAGCAGGGCCGGCATGCAACCGGCTCTGCAGGGCGAGCGAACGGCCTGGCACAGGGTCACGCTAGGAAGGATGGAAGGAGGGATCCGCTGGGGCCAGGCACGGAGGAGGGCCTTGGAAACCATGCGGAGGAGTCTGGGCCTGGTTGCAAAGGAACCGCGACCTGAGCAGACGACCTGTTTGCTGAGGAAGGGTAACTATTGTTGCCCGTTGCCAACTCCTAGTCTGCAAACATGCAACGACATTTTGTCACAAAGAGGACAGAAACAAACATGCCCCCAGAGGTCCCTCTCCCCAGGAGCCAGGGCTGGTCTGAGGGCACACCCAGTTCTTAGTCTCATTCCTCTCTGCCGCCTGGACTCAGTCGGGGCTGGAGGAAGAGGAGCGTGGAGTCGGGAGGCCCTGGAATTTCCCATCCTCGGACTTCCTGATCCTCTGCAGCCTCCTTTGTTTATGCTCCTGGCGCTGGAGGAGGGTGTGGGGCTGTCCAGGCCCCCACACTCTGCTGGGGACAAGCGGCTGAGCAAGGGAGGCCACTCTGCTTCCTTTCTTTCTTGTTAACAGGAGGCCAGGAAGCAAGGCGTTCTCCCAGCAGCCCTTGAGAATCTCTATCCTGTTCCCTGTCCCCCCTCCCTCCCCACCTTCCTGGGACAGGAACACTGGGCCTGCCCTGGGGCTGGGGAGGTCCAGATTTTCCCAGCTGGTAGAGGGAGAAGAGAAGCCTGGCCCAAGAAGAGAAGGCAGCGGCAGGAGTGCCGGGGAAGGAGCTGGCTGCTGGCCGCGTCCAGGGGCCGGCGTGGCGGCAGAGATAGCATCTCCAGGCTCTCGCTGGGGCAGGAGGAGGGAGACTTGCCAGCTGGCATGGATGGTCCAGGAGGCTGATGCCTCTGGCCATTTAGCAGACAGGGGAGCCTTTCAGACTCTAAAGCTCTCCACTGGCAGCTTCCAGAAACCAAACCCTTCCCTGTCACCCTGTGTCCAGGACGTGGACCCAGCATGCCAGCTGAGAGGGCTTGGGGGCATGTTAGTGACCCCACCTTGGTGGAGGCTATCTCTCTGTGGGGCCACCTGGACAGGGCCAGTTTGTGTCTGGGCACTGTGGTGCAACGCACCTGCAGGGGACAGGCTGGGCTTCCCCAGGCACCCGCGTGTCCCAGGCAGGTAGCCTGCACAATGGGCTCATTTGATTCAGCTGCCTCCCACAGCCCTGAGCAGAAGGCGGTACTTCTGTTTTGCTGATGAGAAAATCAATTCTCTTGCCTTCACTTTTATCTCCTGGGAGAACTTGGAAGAGGGATTTCACCTTAAAACTTCTCTGTGCCTCAGTTTCCTTGGCTGTAAACCAGGACTAATTGGGCTGTAGCAGCTGTTATGATCAGGAGACGCTCAGAGAGGCTCCCTAACCTGTTGAGGGACACGTGGCAGTGAACAGGCTGCACACGGCCTGAGCCCCGGCTGTGCTTCCTGGCCCACGCTGCCGCCTGCTCCCTCAGGGCCTCTCCTCTCCCTGGGACGGAAGGGGTGCTGCCCTGTGCCTGAGGACAGGAAAGGATGGGGGACTCTGTCTCCTGTCCTGCCCAGAGCAAGCCCCCGGGGAGTCGGGCTCCAGCACAGAGCCCACCTGCGCTCCGGCCTGTGTGCTGCCCCCTCCCCACCCCCCTCCTTCCTCCTTCCTGGGGCTGGGGGCACGGGGGTCACAGGCCACTACTGTGCCTGGCCTTGTCCTCCCAGAAGCCCACGGATGAGGCTTGGAGCCCGCAGCCCTGGGGGATCTTCCGCCTGCCGGGAGGAGTGCAGGGGGAGGTGAGGAACAGCCTGCACGCCGCCATTGCAGCAGGGGGGCGGAGTAGCTGGAGCCCGCAGACACCCCAGAGCAGCCCACAAACGCAGCCCCTCTTGCCTCGCCTCTGTTCCTCCAGGCAAGCAGCTCTGTCTGACCCTGCCAGTTGCTATGGAAACAATGAGGACAGGAATGGGGAGGGCAGGCGGACGGGTGGGCAGGAACCGGGCAGCCACCACCAGGGCACACGCCCCTGGCAGGGCAGGGGAGGGCGGCAGGGAAAGCCCCCCCTGCCCATCTGCAGGTACCCGATGCTGCCTCCGCCCAGAGGTTGCAGCCACTCAGCCAAGGCCAGGCCATGTGGGGCAGCAGCGCTCGGGATCACTCCCTCAGGCACCCAGCGCTGTCACGGTAACTGCAACAGCCACCGCTCACCCTTCCTGCACAGTAGCCCTGTGCCAGGTACAGGGACTAACGCTCAAATCTCATGAGGCAGGTACCAATATGGACCCCATTTCGCAGATGAGGAAATTGAGGCTCAGAGGATGAAGTCACCTGCCCAGGACACACGGCAGTTGAGTGGCAGAACTGCGACTCAAACCCACGTGGTGCCGCGGCCCTGGAGCCCTGTTCTCAGCCCTGGAGCCAGCACTTATGAGGGCCCAGCTAGATCGGTTCCTGCCCCCCTGATTTAGGAGCTGTCCCCTGTGCCCTGATGAGGCGGCCGTGGCCTGACGGCTTCCGCAGGCAAGAAAGCCTCTGGATCTGGCGAGTGAGCTGGTGTCAGGGACAACTGAGTCGAGAGGGAGGCCGCGCTCCACGCCCACGCTCACATCCCTTGGTCATCACCTGCTCGGCTTTGCTGTTGACTTTTCCTCCCCGGAGTCCATGGATGCCACGTGAGCACCACCCGGATAACAGCTCGCCTTACGTTCCCAGTCTGTTTCTGTCCTCAGGCCAACACCCCCGACCTCAGCAACTGCCCCAGGCCTGATCCCGGGCGCTGGCACAGAGTGCTGGGAAGGCCTAGAAACCTGGTGACTGCACACCCGGCCACCACCTCTCAGGGCAGAGTCCAGATCACACCGGCCCAGTGTTGGCCTGCCTCACTGTCCCAAAGCCACCTGCAAGCAGAGGCCCCCGGATTCACCGCAGGCCTCTGGGGATGTTCAATCTGAGGGGCATGACGGTGGGGGGTTGCTGAAGTGGGGTACTGCTGCTCTCACTGGGCAGAACAGAGCCCGAGAGTATGGACTTCAGTCCAGGGCGCTGGCTGTGGCTGGCCACAGTGCTCTGGGCATTTAAAATTCTAATCAGCCCCCACGGATTTACGGCGAGAGGCCATGTGGGTGTGCACAGGTAGGGAGGAGGCACATGTCCAGGGCTGTGCTCCTGTCCTCGGGGAGCAAACAGGCCAGACCACGGGCTCAGGCTTGTGTGCAGAGAAACAGGAAGAAACAAGTTGAGTTTGAGGCCCAGGTGGAGCTTCAGGAACGAGGCAAGGTGGCCGGGAACCAGGGGAGAGGGGCTGGCCTGGACTTTGAGGGGCAAGAGAAACTTGTTGGTTTGTGTGAGTGAGTGTGTGTGTGTGTGTGTTGTTGTTGTTGGTTTCTAACTGAAACTTGAGTTTTAAAAATGTTAAAACAAAACGAGGCTCTCTGGGCAGAACCATACACCCACCCTGGCCCCCAGGACTGGCGACAACTGCTGGACCCGTGCCTTTCTGTCGGTGCCAGCAAAGGCCGGGCCTGCCAGCGTTAGTCTGACGGCGTGGCTGAGCCCCCAGCGCACCGCCTCCCCTACCTTTGGGCTCCAGGCCGTTGGAATTAAAGTGCATCCTCTTCTGACACTCTGTGCAGCTCATCAGGAACCGGGTCACGGCCTCTCTCGGGAGGAAGGCGTAGGTCTCCGCGATCTGGGGGAGAGAAGAGCTTCGCTCGTTATGTGGATCCACGGGGAGCTGACTTGGCCACAAGGTCACCAAGGTCTGTACTTTCGTGGCAGGCGCTTTGGCCCTCGTGAGGACAGTCAGGGATCTGCGGAGCAAGGGGCAGGTGTCCTCCACTCTCAGTGGTGGAAACGAGTCAGTGCTTTTGTGGAAAGCCATTTGTTTCAAAAATCTGAATAAAGAAGGCTAAAAATTGAAAAAGCAAAGCCTTTAAGCATTGTCTAGCCTTTAACCTATGTTCTAATAAGTAACATTCCTCCCAGAACATTTTACTGCTGCTACTAAGCATGAGCTGACAAACATTGCTCTAGGGTGGGGCCAACAACTTCCTCACTTAAAGATGGATAAACTGAGACCCGCTTATAAATTCACTGGCTCTCAGCCAATCAGCACAACCCAAGGTTCTACGAGTTATTTCCTGTGACAACTCACAGATCAGGAACCTTCTTAGGGAGAGCCGAGAAGGGCTGGTGCCAGGGCATCGGGTTTTTCAACTGCACAGGCTCTCGGGACCTCCGTGTTCCAGGTGACTGAGGCCCAGAGAGAGGAACCCGCTCACCAACGTCACACGGCTTTTTTGAGGCAGTGCCAGATGGAAGCCCATGCCCCAGTCACACCACCCCAGAGCTGCCCGCGGAGGCCTCCCCCGGCAGGGAGAGGGGAGAGGCGGTGGGAGATAGAGAGAGGAGGGAGGCGGCAGGAGCAAAAGGCTGGGCAGGGAGGAGGTGGGTGTGGGCTCGAAGTCCAGTGCTCTCGCTCTGGGTTTTGGAAAGCTGCTGGCCCTGATGTGGCTGCCTGTGGGGGCCACAGGGTCCCCTCAGTTCCCATTCCCTGGGCTGAGGATGCCGAGTCACTGGTTTTCACACGTGCTTCCCAGAGCCTGGGTCCTCCCGCTCCTCTCCACTAAGGGGCAGCATCGCCCAAGCGTTCCGGCGTCCTCACCGCAGCCCGGCTGGGAGAGGTGGCCGCGGAGGAGGGGGCTGCTCTGAGCCCTGCCTCCCCTCCGGGATAGCACCAGTCTGCTCCTTCCGGAATGCACGACTGTCCTGACTGTCCTGCTGCACCTCTGCAACAGCTGGGAGGTAGGGGCAGGGCGGGGCGGGGCGGGGCTATGCGGAAAGCCTGGGGTGCCCCACGCTGTGGCCAGGCCCTCAGAGAGCAGCTCGGGCAGACTCCCCGCTCAGTCCTCCTGCAGAGTTCCAGGGGCTAGTCCTGCCGGCTGCAAACGCGGAGTTAATTTTGGTGACACAGTTGTTATTTCTCAGCTGATTTGATGCTCTACGGAGCAGAGAGGCTCCTTGATGAGTTATCTCCCTTCCAAATTCCCTGTCTGATTGCCTTCCTCTGGAGGTCAGGGACAAGGGCAAACCCCAGTGTCTCTGACTGGAGCCGGTGGATGGGAGAGTGACAGTCAGAGGTGCAGCCAAGGGACGGGGGCTTTTCTGCCAGGCACACGGAGATCATCCCGGCCTGGAGCTGCCCGCAAGGCTCGGGGACAGTGTGTTCCTCTCGGGCCTGCTGGGTCGGGAGGGATGTGCCCGCTGAAGGGCTGCCGGCAGCAGGGCAAGGCACGTGCTGGGCAGAGCGGAGGGCTGTGGCTGACGCGGGCCGGCAGACAACCAACCCCCTTGGCTCCCCTGAGACATGGCACCCCAGGTCAGGCCTGAGGAGAAACGAGCAGAGGACTTGGGGGAGGAGGGTTGCACAGTCAGCTGGGAAGAGGAAGGACAGACAGGTCCATAGTCGGGGCAGCCCTATGTAACTACTCGGAGCTTGCTTGCTCACCTGCCGCTGGGCAGAGGAATATTTTTTAAAGGTTCAGGGAGGGCCTGGTAGCCTGGCTGCCCTGGGAAGTGCCTCACACAGGACGGGCAGGGGATCTTTTGCCCTCTGGCCTGCTGAGGGCACAGGGACAGTTCTCTCTTCAGGAGTGGCAGTGGTGGCTGCAGATCCCTAGCCTTATTAGGTAGCCAGTGGCATGCAAAGGCTGGCTGGCGTGCTCTGGGGAGGGGGAGGTCTGGGCATACATCTTCTGGCCCTGGGCCCCACAGAAGGGTGGGAGAGGTGGACTGAAGGCCAGTGGGTGAGAAGTCCTTAGAGCTGTCAGACAGCCAGGGAGGGACGTCCTGACCTGCGCGGCTACAGCAGCTGCAGCTTGGCTTAGACTCCCCGGGAGCCAGTAAAGTGCCCGGTCCGGCCCAGCTCTGCGCTGCCGTAGGGACCTGTACAGATGAGGACATCCGCCCACACCACCCCAACCTCTGTAGGCATCTTCTGGTTTACCTTCCTGGCTTGCCTGGGACCAGAAATGGGACCTCCATTTCTGTTTGCGTGCACAGATGCCCAAGGCCACGGGACCACAAGATGAGCTAAAACCAGTAGGACAATCCTAGCAGATGCTCTAGTCAATAGGATGGTGGTTTCCAGACTGTCTCAGAGCTATAGACCCTGTTCTAGAAATAGACTCCTGAGCTGCTGCCCCGACCGTGAAACAGATAAAGGTGGAGCTGTCGTGTTTAAGGAGTGGAGCTTCAGACCCCTGACCCCAGCCAGTTTCCCTCGGCTGCCCTGGGCTGCCTGCTGCCTTGCTCTCAGCACCTCCTGCCTGGACATCAAGACCTATATGTGAATTTGCCTTTTACTTTTTTCCTAGTGGTAGAAACAGAGATTTCACTGGCAGGGAGAGCAGGAGCTATTTGCAGAGTCGCTGACTTGCAAGGCCCCATTTTCGCTCCCCAACTCAGAGGCCGACAAAGACAGATGAGGCCAATCGGGGGGGATTTGCACCACTTTACAAGATCCTCCTTCTGCCCTGCGGGTGGATTAGCACGTGGTGGGCCTGGAGCAGCTGCTGACCACATCTGGTCCAGCTCCAAAGTGGCCTGGGCAGCCAGATCCAGACCCTGGAACCCGATCTGGCCTACTAGCACCCTGGGAGACAAAAAGGAAGCAGAAGGGCTCACTCCGACCCAGGTGGGTGCAGGAACCAGAATAGCTGGAAAGCCCACTGCAAAAAGGACCAGATCTCTCGGTGGGTTCAGGGAATTTTGCAGAGCCACCCAGAACCTTCCCCGCACCCTCGCACTGGTGAGATCCCCATGATCCTCTGGACTTGGGCCACGCTGCATCACAGGTAAGTAAGGCAGGGGCTTCCCACTCAAAATGGGAGTCCCCTGCATTGTCCATTGTAAATGGTCATCTGCCACTGGTCCAGACACCTCCAGTTACCTGCCCTCCCTGACGCACAGCTGGACAGCGGTAGAAGCTAGAATGTCCTTTTCTTCTACCAAAGAAGGTGGGAAAGCCTCTTTTGGGTCACTGAGCAAGTCTGCCCACCGTCCTACCAGTGCCCTGACTCCAGCAGCAGCCCAGGCCTGTAAGAACTCAGAAAGCCCCGTGCCCTAGACAGGTGGGGCTGTCCCAGGGTTCGGCTTTGGCAAAGGCACAGAGGCAGATCCAAAAGTCCTCAGCCAGCGGCCTGACCGTGCCCCACAGTGCCAGGTGGTGCCTCTTTGCCGCCATCAGGGCGGGGCTGCCTTGGGGCTCTTCCCGCAGCCACAGACGGAGGCCTCACGTTGCAGAGTGTGGCCGAGGAGCTGGGCTGGGGTCAAGGGAAATGGGGGCGGATGAAAAGGGGGGACAAAGGCATCCAGGCACCACCCTGTGCCCCCCTAAAAGGAAGGGGGTGGCATGAGAAGGGTGACAGATGGGGAGAAGGAGGGGGAGGGAGAGGAGGCGCACGGGGGAGGAGGGAGGTGTGCGGGCCCCCTCGGCCTCACACCCACTGCAGGAGGGTGCTGGCCTGCTCGCTCAGCCTTGGCCCTGCTGCTGAAATTCCAGCTCTGTGTGCAGCCCAGCTGGCCTCACGCCAGTCATGTGCCAGCTCCAGGCTGGGCAGCGGGAAGTGGGGCACGCGGCGGGCATATGGACGAGAAGCCAGGAAGTGCAGAGCAAAGGGCTGGAAGTCTGCTTGGCCAGGGACACGAGGGCTGGCAGGACCAGCCCAGCCCCGCCCTCTCTGCAGCATGGAGGCCGTGGACCCCTGCCCTCATAAATACCCACGGAGAGCCTGTGGGCAGGCTTGGTGCTGGGCGCTGAAGGGGCCAGGGAAGTCACATGCCCCAGCTGGCCCAAGCCCAGCCACCTGGACAGCAGCAGGCCGCAGGAGTTACTAGCTGGCCGCAGGAGGTCTGTGGAGAGGCAGGATGTGCGGGGGTCGGGGGCCTGGCTCTCAATGTCAGCTGAATATCTCTCTGAGCCTCAGTTTCCTCATCTTGAAATGGGGGTAACAACACCAGCCTCAGACATACAACTGCCACACACATGAAGGCTCAGGTGGGGCACAGTAGGGGCTGTGTGTGCAGCCTGGCACGTGCCAGCTGCCTGGCACAGCGGTAAATTTAACGCTGAGAAGAGGGGCTGGGGCTCGGCACCAAGGGGCCGCTCTGCACCCACACTGGCCCCAGCCTGGGCGAGTCTCCCTTCTTCTAGGACCCTCTGGTGGAAATACCCTCAGCGCTCCCTCCTACAAGACGCTTCTTGAAGCCGGGGGTTGGGGGATGGAAAAATCGCCTTGCCTCTCTGAGGTCCTCGGCACCCGGGTCCACCCTTCAGATCCACTTAGGGCAAAGGCCATTTTCTAAGGACAAGGACAAATCAGACTGCTGGATTTTTAAAAAATCAGGCCATAAAGGGGAATGATAGACGTATACAGCCGCCTCCACTGTAGTCCAAGGCTATTTATGCAAAGAGCCTGGGGGAAGGAGTTTCACATCTGCCTCGGGTGGGAAAGCCCAGGCCCAGAAGGGCGCATCTCTAGGAAGCTGCAGAGAAAGTCACCGCAGAGGGCATGAAGACACTGGCTGACTGCAACTCAGGTGCTGTGTGACCTTGCCCACGTCGCTCAACTCTCTGGGTCTCAGTTTTCATAACTGTGAAATGGGACCTCAGCGCCGTAGTCACAGGACTGCTGTGAGGCTTGAAGGAGCATACAGTGCTTGGCTTCACTGCCTAGTGGAGGGCACTGGACCAATGGTTCAGAGCCGTGTGTGGCATGGCGACAGGCTCAGATATGGGAGTGGACAAGGGACGGGAGTGGGACACGGGCAGGCCCCTCCCACGGGGCCTGGCCACAGTCCCCTCTACCTCTGCCTTCCTCCCACCCCTAGATTGCTGTCTCTGCTCCCTCCTGCCTACCCAAAGCTGACATGTCATCCTCCCCATGAAGTCCCCAGGGCTCAGCACCGAGAATCCATGTCTGGTGGTGCCTCTGCGGAGCACCCAGGTACCCGGGTTCTTGCTCTCTCAAAGCTGGTCCTGGAGACACTTCTGCTTCTATGTGTCTAGCCTTTGCTCTCGGCCTCCCCACCCCAGTCCCACTGTGATCTCCCCGAGGGCGGGGAACAGATCCTCAGACTTCCCCTGGGGGACTCCCGGCTTCCCAGGACAGTGGGGGAAGTGACTGAGCTCGCCCATAGGAGGCTCTCAGGGCCCCTGGTACACAGCGGAGGCCAGGCCAGGAGCATTTGCCGTCACTATTACCTGCACCCAGAACAGGCTGCAGGGGCTGGGGGTAGAGTGAAGCTGCCCTTGTCCCTTCCCTCCTCCTCCTCCCTCCTTCAACCTGCTTCTCCTTTGTGCTCAGGCCACAGAGCCTGCCACGCCCTCTGGGCCATCTCCGGCTGCCTTGCCCTTGCCCTGTGCCCCCCTGGGTCCCCAAAGGCAGCTTCATCACGCCTCAGCTCCCTGCCCCACCCCCCAGCCCAACATGTGCGGAGCCCGTGGCCTCCTGCCAAGGCCTGGGGCTGCCAGCGGAGGCAAAGAGACAGAAATCTCACCGCTCGGTAGGTTTTCTTCTGCCCGGCGTGCTTGGGGGCTTTGCCTGGCTCTGCTGAGCTCTCCACATGCATCGAGTAGATGATGTCAAAGAAATCTTCCACCACAGCGACCCGCTTCAGAGAGATGCCCTCCGGCTCCGACAGGCCATCTGCCCCCTGCGACAGGGTGGACAAGCTGTGTTAGTGTCAGGGATGATGGCAGGGCGAGAGCTGGGCCCCGAGGCCAGGGCGCCAGGTCGGGACCTCAGTGCCTCCAGTGGTGGGTCTGGGGGGTGGGGGGCCTGCCGAGAGGGCTCCCGGAAGGGGGTACCAGAGTCGGGGTGGCTGCTGCTGCTGCATCGACCAGCAACAATGGGCAGACAACGACAACAACGAAAATACAAATTAAAAAACCAAGAGGCTCCATGTTCACAATTTCAGACAGATTGTGCCAGACTCGGGCGGGAGCTCTCGCGTCGCACGCTGTGCCAAGACCATCCTGGGAGTCTCTGGGGAGGGGGAGTGCTAAATAGATGCGGCCCCATCAGGAGCTCGCCAATTAGCAGTAACCTTTCACTGTGGTCCCGGGCTGGGGTCCCGAGGGAATGGCTCGGATCACCTGGGTGACTCCTGCCTCTGCCCCGGCCTTTCCGAAAAGCTTTTCACCCAGCCCGCCCTCCCCACCCCAGCAGCTGAGCGCCAGCAACAGCACCCGGCCCTTTGTGTGCGGAGATGTGCAGAATAACAGGCACGAGGCCACATGGAGGTGGCAGGGCTGGGTGAGCGGGGTGGCCGTGGGCCCCCGAGCCTCTTATCAGGCTGGCACGAGTGCTGTCAGCTGGCCCGACAAGGTGTGCCAGCATCAAGACCGGGCCCTTCAATAGCCAACAGCTGCTGGGCTGACGCCTGCCCTCCCCTCCAGCAGAGGAGGGGGCTGCCGGGGAGACGCCAGGGCAAGAGGCTGGGGAGCGAGACCAGGGCCTGGAGGGGACAGCTCGGGGCACACAGTTCCTGATTCACAGGCAGGGGCGCACGCAGACTCGGGACACCGAGCCGGCATCTCCCTAAGGGGGGCTGTGAGGACTTTAGGGGCTTCAAAGATCAAGGGCGAGCAGTACAGAGGGAATGGGGGGAAGGAGGCAGGCTTTTCTCTAAAAGTGCCCAAAAGACACATCTCCAAGAGGACTCTTCCCCAAAGGGCCCCAGCTCAAGGACGTCAGCAGGGGTGGGCTTCATCTGCCCCTTCCCGGCTGTCCCTGCGGCACCGAGAGCAGCGCCTGACGCGTGGCAGGAGCTCAGAGAACTGCTGCTGGGTGACCCATGGGCTCTGAGTGGCAGCCGGGCAGGCCAGCTTGGCCACACTCTGCCCTGGTTTGAGTAGGGCCCGTCGTGCAAGTGGCTGCGTGACCCTGGGGAGTTACTTTGCTTCAAGCCTCAGGCCCTTTATCTCTAAAATGGGGATAACAGAAGCACCTTTCCCAGGAGCTACTGCGGGGAGAAAATGAGATCTGTGTGTGGCACTTACCACGGAGCCTACGGGGACCGCTCAATAAATACGGTTCTTAGGAAGTGCTCTTGCCAAGCTTCCTCCGGGTATGACAGAGCCCAGCATCGTGACAACCCTGGGAGGCTGTTAGGGTCGGGACCTGCCCGTGAGTGGTGGCTGGGAAGGGGCAGAGCTGGCTTCGGACCTCGGACTTCGTAGTCCGAGTGGAATACAGGCCGTGCTGGCATGGGACGCTTGCTCACAACTCATTCTGGCCACAGACAGGTTTGGGTTTTATCTGGCAGCTTTCTCGACGTGCCACGAAAGGCCAGCAGGGCTGTCTGTCTCATTGCCAGCAGCCCGCGTGAGAGCAGAGAGCAGATGGGGGAAGAAGGGCAGCTTGGGCATCTGGGATGTGGGGTACTGAGCCCTAGAGCTAGCGGGCAGCGACCCTGGGAGGTGACCTCACCAGCCCTGATCAGTCTCTCTCGCCAACGGCTCCCTTCCTGGTCAGGATCCCTTTCAGTGGGGACTTCTCAGATAGTATGTGTGTGTGTATGTGTGTGTGTGTGTGTACGTGCTTGCTGAGAGATTGTGAGCAAACTCTTCAATCTCACTGAGCTTCACCTATGAAATGAGCTATAAAATTCCATGACATATTCCTGTGTCTATAAATATATAAAAATATTCCTGTGTCTCCAAAGCAAGGTGGGGAAAAAAGAGAAAAATAAAAATAAAATATAGATAAAAAAATTCCATGACTTTTCTGTTTTTAAATTCTCAGGAGTTACTTTAAATCTTTCCTGGGATTATCCCACCTCCTCCGAAGTCCTGGGTCATCCATAAGTGCTCATTAAGGACTAATCTGTAACTACCCAGCAGTTTGGTGATCTTCAAATACTGCCAGGCAACAAGGTCAGGACGGGACAAATGTCACGATAGGTCAGTTTTACTTCTAACCAGAGGTTCACAGTGGCAAAAATAAACAAAATGAACCTTAAGAATGAATGTAATTGGATGGTGGTTATACAGGTGTGCTCAGTTTATGAAACATCATTAAACTTGAACACTTAGAAGCTGTATACTTTGTTTTTTAAACTTTAATTTTAAAAATGTTAGCTTTTTAAAAAGTATAATGAGGTAATTCTACCACATTTCGATAATAATCTGAATCCAGAGGCATAATGATGGGTTTAGCTGCTTGGAAGTGAATAGACCTCCCTGCTCATAAAATTGTTGCAGGCCAGAACACAGATATTTCTGAAAAAAGAAGGAGATATAATTTGGTGGAGAGGCATGGGGAAATAAAATAATCCGATGAAGAGACAATATTTTAGACAGGTGAGCCACAAGCTCAGTGATATTGGGCAGGTCATGTCCCTTATTTACCTCATGAAACTCAGTTTCCTTATCTGTAAAATGGGCCTAAAAAGTTCTTGGATGTTCCAAGGGTCAAGCACATACACCTGGCACATACAGTCTTGGTAAAGGTTAATCTCTTGCTGAGTTTGGACTTTTTGTGTTTAGGAATCTGCTTTTATCTCCTGTCCCTCTGATCCATTCAGGTTACAAAATAGGTCCCCCTTGGTAATACCTGCCATCAGAAGAGAGTCACAGTCTTATTTAATTCCTAAATAATATGTTAAGGCTGTCCCACAAACTTGGAATAAGCTTTCCTAAAGTCAAAGTGTAACTAACCAACGCAGATAAGACAGTAAAACACGCTGCCTAGATCCAGGCCTGCCTCTATCCCAGCCTCCCACCTCCAATCTTAGGCAGACTTGGGTAAACAACAGCTTTGCACCTGGTCCAATGCGACCATAAAATTATCCCAGAGAAATTCTTCAGAGAAGCAGTTTTCAGTAGCTCCCTCTTTAAAAATTGATCACTGTCTCCCCTGATGTTCAGACTGGGGTCCTGTAACTCTGCAGTCTCCAACCTTTTTGGCACCAGGGACTGGTTTCATGGAAGACAGTTTTTCCATGGACCAAGGGGGGGGGCTGGGGGTGGTTGATGGGGGTCGGGGAGGTGGTGCAGAGCTCAGGCGGTAATATGTGGCCCGCTTACTAATAGACCACGGACCAGTACTGGTCCGTGGCCCCAGGGGTTGGGGACCACAGCTGTAACCCACTTATCTCTACAGCAGAGATTTACACAGGAAAGGAGAGGTCCTGTAGCAACCAGAATTCAAACCACACAAGGTCTGCAGAGCCACACCTTGAGCCGTCCTCTGGTGAGCTGTGACCACCCGGACTCCACGTGTGCTACACCCTAAGGGAAGAGCACCAGGATATCTGTGTGGCCTTCAAGGAGAGCCCTGAGAAGACAGTAACAAAGGGATCTGACAGTAGTCACGTGCCACAGACAGCTCTGCCATCCCCTGCGTCCACAGAGGTAATAACCTTCATGCTAAACGCTGCATGAGAGCATGCCTTCCCTAGCTGAGAATCCAGACACAGTGCTACATGGCGAGAGCTACTAATTAAGGGAGCAGAAAGCACCTTCCCAAAGCCTTGGGATGCCCCTGCCAACCCCCTTCTGCCCAGTACCTAAATTAGCTTAATCTAATCCATTGCCTTAAGCAAGCTGGGCACTGGATTGACAAAGAAGTTCACTTCATCTATAAACTGGATCAAGAAGAGACCTAGAGGCCGGGCGCGGTGGCTCACGCCTGTAATCCTAGCTCTTGGGAGGCCGAGGCGGGCGGATTGCTCAAGGTCAGGAGTTCAAAACCAGCCTGAGCAAGAGCGAGACCCCGTCTCTACTATAAATAGAAAGAAACTAATTGGCCAACTGATATATATATAAAAAATTAGCCGGGCATGGTGGCTCATGCCTGTAGTCCCAGCTACTCGGGAGGCTGAGGCAGAAGGATTGCTTGAGCCAGGAGTTTGAGGTTGCTGTGAGCTAGGCTGACGCCACGGCACTCACTCTAGCCTGGACAACAAAGCGAGACTCTGTCTCAAAAAAAAAAAAAAAAAAAAGAAGAGACCTAGAGTCTCCTGACTATCCCAGTTTCCTGGAAATGCTTAGCAGGAGTGATGGAATGAAACCCTGCAGCAGCCCATGGGAAAAGCCATCAAAAACACATGGTCAGTTGTACAGGATCAACCTCTGAGGCCTTCCTGCATGGGGAGAACATTGCCATGGTAACACACTCTCTCCACTCGAATCACCCAACCCTCAAACAGCAGGCCAGATCCAGGCCAACAAAACCAGGCATGGAAATGGTTTTAAAAATTTATGGAGCTTTCCTGGACATCATCAACTCCCTTAAAACGTGCCCATTTGGGTGCTAAACTAAAAGCTGGGTTGCAAGTCATTGACGAAATTGCCAAATGTCTACTTAAATACTGCTGGTATTTCAAAATATTTAGAGCAATGGTCTTCGAAGTCTGGTCCCCTAGACTAGCAGCATCAGCATCACCTGGGAACTTATTTGAAAAGCAAAATTTCAGGCCCCACCTCAAACCTACCAAAGCTGATGCTCTGGAGGTTTTCACAGGTCCCCAGATGATTGTGATGCATGACAGAGTTTGAGAAGTGCTGATTAGAATGTCTCCATGATTGAGCCAGGGAGGTAACTATAGGCGAACTGGCATTGGCTCATTAAGTATAGACATGCTCTGTGCTTCCGGGCCTAATATATTAATATTTTCATCTCCAATGAAGGCCAATTTTCCTAATGGTG